CTGATGTTAATTTCAAATTTTATAGTTAATATTATGAATGCAATACATTTGTGTGCCATTCAATTTTGCAGCCAGCAGTGGTTGTTCTGGTACAACATGTAGCACTTCCCACAACAATGGCTTTTGAAAGTTCCCACTGTTCCACTATGGAACAACATATGTTCCAGCCCCCCTTTCAGTGGCAAGGCAAAGATAATGTTTTATGTTTAAGCAGAATGAGTTCATTTGTAATAGCAAATTACTTTTATGTATAAAGCTAGGAGTAGGAACATTCAAAATATGACTTTGTTGTTACTACTTACATACTTGATTTAGTGACCAGTGCTTTTTCCTCCTGCCACATCTCTACTAAAACTCTGTCACCAACCAAGATATTTTTATGTGCTGTGTATAAGCTCTGTAATAGCTTAATTCTATCTTATTTCAAGACAAAAAAATTAATCAATTATATTTCATTTCAGTCTATTTGACACAGATTTCCCTGTGATGGAATATCACATTTTCCTTAATTAGGGAAAGGTTCCCTTGTTTGCAGTGACTGACTGCTCAGCTTTAGTCAGGACACACAGACTCCCTGAGGCATATCAAGACCTCAAGTCTGACCGCTTCATCTCTTATATGACCAGAAGGGCAGTTGTAATAACCAAACAACATTTGTCCCTATCTAAGTGGCTGGAACCTAGCCCAAGTCATATGCAGAAATCCAGCTGCACGCCTAGTTCAACATGTATATTCATGAGAATGTTAAAAGATACAGGAGTGCTTACATGGTGGACTATTTCACTTGCAGAGTGGACCACCTACTATCAGTCAAATGAAAAGTGAAAAAGTCTTACAAAAGAATTGCAAGAGCAATTAATCTCACTCACTCCCTGTTTATTTGAAAGAAGTTCTGTTTTGAAGCAAAGAAATAAAAAGAGTGCAGCAAATAAGAGTCTATGGGTTGACAGATCTGATTCAGTCTTCAGGCCAAGGATGGTCACTACGTAGTCTAGAAGTACCTCCACCTGAAACCTTTTAAGTTGCTGACCATACAAGAATGCACGTTCTGACTGATCTGTAAAAAGGCACTCTTGGTAAACAGGAAGATATTACCTTGCTTTCAACAGCTATCATATGCCACATATATATCTATATACATAAACACACAAGTATGTTTTATACATGCCAGATACAGTCCTCAATGTTTAGTTTACCTTTGCTAGAGTTAACTGAACAAAAAAAGAAGAGAATAAGCTAAAAAAATTATTTTCATTAGAACAATTTCATTATCCTAAAACTGCTAACACTTTATTCTCAAACAAGAATATAAGCCTCTTTTCATAATATTCAACACTCACTATCCCATTAAAGTTGCAGCAAATGAGCAACTTTTTGAAGGAAACTATATCAGTGGCTAAAATAATCAAGTTATACATGAAAGTGATAAAACAGAGGAGAATAAGAAAAGATATTACTACAATTCTGATATTTAGACCAACTGATCATCTAAGAGTATCTTTTATGCTTTCATTTCCTTTGATCTGCCAAAAAGATTTTTGTTTGTTCTTCCAGTTTAATGTATTCTATACTAGTTGAAGGGCTTTTACTTATGACTCTCATTTGTGGAAGTAACCCTTGAAAGCATGTTTCCCAGACATCAGCACTTTGATTTGATGCTAACAATGTTTCTTTATGCAAAAAAAGCTAAACTCACCAAATCCAAAAGCATCATAGCACTTATTTCAAAGCTCAGTTGGTTGAATAGCATGAAAGATGCTTTTCAGTTACTGCTTTACAAAAGTATTATCTATGTAACTTGGAGTACACCAATTATTTTACATATGAAAGTAAAATAAAAGTGATGTCTCAAAAATTACTTAATTTACCATAATTTAGGACATTTTTATTTAAATACAGCAGCATTCCAATTAAGGACATCGGTTTCTGCACTCTGGGCCTACCTGTATCAACAGGCTTTTGAACTGTACAAGCACAATAGATAGGTTACTCTGTAAGACAAGGGGAAAAGGCACTCTGAAAACAGTTAATGGATTATTCTGTTTCCTGATAATTTAGAGATGTAATGTCAAGGTAAAAGCACATTCATGTCAATACCTGAATGTTACCTCTCATCAGTAGAGCAATTCTCAAAAGGCCTTTTTGAACAAATGTGCTAGAATAGCTGAGCTTTCAGGATAAATTGCACATGGACCTCTAGATGTACTCAGAATTGGTGAAAGAAGTGGACAGAATGGTTTCACTATCTATTATTTCGGTCTATGGACATTAGAATATATTCCTGAAAACTCACCCAAAATAATAATGCACAATAGGGTATAGTTTTTAAACTAATTCTTTACTAGCAGTGAAACAAGCATATTTCAGTATTATATTTAGGAAAGCAATGCAATCCTCCATTTTTATTCAAGTCAGAGAACCATAAGTGAGTAAGCATAAAACATATCTTCCTTGCACAAGATCGAATAATGCCTCTTAAGCAACTCCTGTGAACATTTAAAATTAATTTGCCTCTATGTCAGAACAAAACATCAGCTCTACTTCTAGTTGATATTTTCTTCTTTGATATTTCTTCACTGCTTAGTTAAGAAGCAAATGATATGTATTTGCTCAATAATATCATAGCATGTGGGGACAAACAGATTACCCAGTTAAAAATAAAAGCTAACATCAAGGAAAAAACAAAACAAAATCAACTCAAAACAAAACAGTTTACCAGAAAGCTCTAAAATGAAGGTCCAATTCTTCCTATTGATTTCTCTACAAATCAAATCCCAGGGTTTTTTTGAAAAAGACTCAACTGTGCCACCACTCCCAGTCTCATTTCAACTGCACAAACTAAACAAAATCCAAAAAACCCCAAACCTAGACCCCTTGGCATATTTCAAGAAATAGTATCATGTGATGCAGTGCAAACATTTTTTCCCCACAGAGACTAAACTGCCATCAGGAACAGTTTAAACAATTTTGTGATGATAAGGAGAGATGCACTTTGCATTTATGTAAATATTTATACAGAATCCTTCAGAAGTACTCTGCTTCTTTCAAGTATAAGAGACCACTAGCAATAAATAAAATAGCTCTAAAGAACCATGAACCCTATAAAAAGAAACTGACCTGCGAAAGGTTATAAAATGTTTTCTAAAATGCTGCATCCTGCTGCAGCCCAAGATATTCATATTGCAAATTGAAGTTGATTCCTCCTCCACCAAGATCAACAACACTTCTTTGACTTAAAAGAATAGCGAACAAATGATTCAACATCTGTGTCAACTTATATATACACCAAAATTGCTGCAGTAAATTGATTTAAGAATACTCAGTACATCTTTATCAAAAGATTTCATTAGATCTCAATCCGCTGTACCACAACTTGTAGAAGATTAATATAATTCTTCTTGATAACTCACAGGTAGAAATGAATTTCGGAAAAGAGGTAGGGACTTCGTATTAAGTTCAAAAACAAATAACCAAAACTAGTCTTAATAATATAGTTTTGTAACTACACTGTTACAGACCCCTCCAAACACTACAGTGTTTTCTCTTCTGATCTCCATCAAACATTGCCCCAAGCTATGATATCCTGAGGTCAGAAAAGCCCTCTAGCATCACACTCTGCTTCTGAGTGGAAGGCTGCCTGTCTCCCTCCAATAATCTCTATTCAATATCTAATGAAAACTGAAGGCAAACTGGAAGGTAATAAAAGAGATAAACTTCCTAAATCAATCCCTTGGTAATAAACACAGCAACTGATATCAATTTACTTTTATATTCAATTGTACAACAGGTATGTGTTTAAAATTCATTTGCAAAGGATGTAAAGCCTTAATGTGCATAGCAATTTCACATTGTGCTGTTTTGCATGAAGACTCTTAAAAGCTATTATGAAGAGTAGTGTCTTCATGAAAGACAATGAAGTCTTCTAAAAATTATTGTTGATGGCATATAGCCAGTGTTATTTTTAACCCTGGCTGCAAAAACCCAAAGCAATAAACTAGAAATAGCCTATCATGAACAACTTTTGTACTTTCATTCAGTCTTTCAGAACACTGAATCACTTTCCTTCTAACATACTAATTCTCTACTTCTCTTTTTTCCTGAAATCCATTAAAATATAATAAAACTTCCCATAAAAGTATAGCAAGTCTTCCATTTTAATTTCTAGTAATTTTATTAACTTCAAAAAATATAGTTTCATGACACACATTTATGCCATTCAGTGAAAACACTGGGAATTACAACCAACTGAAATAGGGGCCTTTACTCCAATTTGGTTTTCCTTTTATGAAAGATAGCTAAATATTCTGAGCAAGAACCATCCGATTCACTGAGATCATTTCAGCATTGGCTATAGTCAGTAGTCATAATGGATTTCCAGAACACATTTCAGGTAAACATCAAAGACTTCAAAAAAGAGAAACTTCATTAAAAAAAAAAAAAAAACAAAAACCACTTACTGTTACTTCTTTGATGTAGAATCTACATTCTCAATGAAAGCATGAAGCTATAGTTCAAAGTTATTGCCTGTTAAGAAGTCAAAAAGACATAAATATATTAATTTAGTATATAATAAACTTTGAATTGCAAATGCTGATAAGAATCTCCTCATAAGATAAATAAGAAATGTACCCACAATAAGGTCTATGTTTCTTTCTTATTTCCCCCCTCCGCAATGAATTAAGAATTCCAAACGCAAGGCAAGTGAAAATTATGTGTTTATAGAGACACTGTCAAATAATGAAATAAAAAATGTTGCCTTGGGACCATAGGAAAAAAATTCAGAACGCACACAAACAAAAACCTAGTGGAATGAAAAATAAACTCTTACTCATTCTAATCCTCCAGCAATAGACACAAATTACTATAATGAGGATGCATTCTTTTCTAACTGGCAAAGTAAAATTCCAAGATTAGGATCAGATAATAAAGATATGCATAGGATAAAATTTGGTTGACTTTTTAATATACTGAATCTAAGATAACAGTATCTCCTGTTTATCACTTATTCCATGGGACTTATCAAATATATCATATCTGAGAAAAATGCAAATCTGATCACATTGCCAATACCAATTATATCTACAGCCAGTGATTAAGGAGCATTAAAATAGTTTCTTTTACATTGGTATATTCTAATTTTGATATAAAAAGGGGTTTTGCTAGAGCTGAAAGAAATAAAGAGAAAACACCATCAATAAGCATCTTTTTGGTATGTCTTGCTTAATCTTATAGGCAATCCTACTTGTATTTTTCCTTTGTTATATAGAAATACCAATTCCTAGTAAATGAAACAACAAACAACATCAATTGTATTACATATCGACAAAGTCAGGCCTTTAGGATCCATGAAAGTAGTTAAGCCCACAGATAACTTCTAATTTAGAAAATGTCTCTGAATTCTTAATGTGACTCCTTACATGCTACAGTAGAAGGAATAAAGCATGTCCTTAGCTGCTGAGATCCTACAACTGTAGGAGCAATATAAAGCGATACAAAGAAAGATAAAAGTTATCACTCTGGACTACAATGATCTTTCAAAGTAAATATGTATTTGCACCCATGAAAACATCTTAGTTGCAAGCCCTGCTCCGTTCCCCCCCCCTCCTCCATATGCAAGATCTATGATTCCTTAAGTAGAATTATGTTTTATTTTAAACTCTACCAACATGTTACACACTTCATATAACACAAAAACTGAGATTTAATACAAAGGTGAGACACAGACAGCCTGCAACAGAAACACCTTATTTGCAGGTTTATCAAGAAGATGATTAAGATGAAATGAAACAGTTCATTCTGGCCTCCCAGTCAGAATGGTGAAAAAGTAAATTATATCAGGAGAGCTTTGCCTAAAACAGTGCAACCACGTTTACAGCAGCAGAACCTTGGGTGAGTGTTTGGAAAGCTCCATGATTAGAATAAATAGAAGTCATAAATTGCTCAGCATATTATGAGAAAATAGTCTTCTAAAAGATAGGAGATGTGAAGTAATTTTTTTCTTCTTGTACAGGTTGAAAAACACATAATATGTAACATTTCACATCATACACAGTGTTTTTTTCCCAGTATTACTCAGTAGTATTCATTCACATCATGCAACTTAGACAAATTAAAGATCATTCTTTCCATACTTGCAGCTCATTAAAATAGGACAGGTTCTAGTACAGGATGATAAATCTGAATGCAAGATAAACAGTCTCTGTCTCTACAGTTTAGTGGTTCTGTTTGTTTTTAATGTTCTCATTTAACAGAATTAGCTATTGTTGTGTAACAAAACCCAGATTTAACTAAATGTATGAATTAAGAATAGACTTGGTTCTTTATATTAGCAATACCTGCAACAGAATTCTTCAGTTTCATCTCCCACTTCCACCACTAAAGATACTAATTAAAATGTATATAAATATATGAGTCTTTAGTGACAAAATGAGAACAATAAAACAGAAATTGGGCATGATCCACTGGTAAAATAATGCTTTCAATTGCTAGTAAAATTGTTAGTTTACCTAAACTATTTATTCCAAAGAAATGCTTTCTGCTTGAATAGGAGTAGTATGACATCAAAACTGTGCTAAGCAGAGGTTAAAACAGATGTTTGAAAATTAAACACTTTGCAGTACTGGTAATGTCAGTTTATGGCAGTGGACAGGAATGTTAATAAGATACCTTGCAAAGATGCTTATTCCAGAAAAAGATGCTTGACATTAATCTCGGAACTCAAGCCTTCAAGACCTGCAGCAGGCATGAGAGCAACCTTTTAATATACTGATTAAGCAAAACCACTGCTAAAGCTTTCCTTGTTTATCTGTTTCAGTAAAATTCTGGGCCAGTGCATGTAATTACATTGCTTTTTTGACTGCATTACAGGCTATAACTGTGACACACAGATAGCTACTTTCTTCTACCAAAAGAAAATCTAAAAGAGTTCACAGTCAGTAATTCAATAAACTATATACAATCCAACATACTTTAAAAGCATTCAAGGGGCATCCACATGTGACTGTCTCCATGTGGAAAAAGGGCCTGATTACATAATATACATGGTTAAAGTAGGATTACGGAAGTGGAATGTGCCATACTGATTTAGTCCCTCACACTCTAATAGAAGTAGACAATCTTAAAAATAATACTCAAAATTACACACAAGGACTAGAAGACCATCACCTGTGAGTGGCATTAAATCAAGATTTTCTCAAAGGTGAGCTTGAATTCAGTCTCAGTATTAGGAGGACTTCATGAGTGAGTTACTAAAGGCACTCGAGTTCAGATAATCACATAGGTTATTTTGTCATTACTTAACACACCTCTGCCAAATAGTGACAGTTCTGTGTAAAGCTCTAAAAAGAAAGCTCCAAATCCCACAACTCTAAGCCTGTAATTCCATGTTTAAACTTAATGAAATTAATAGTACTAGTACATTTCCAGTTTATCTTCTTTCACCTCCCAAACCCTTTGCTGAAGCAGCAACTACCTGCCCACTCTTTTGCTTTAGTTTCTGAAAGGCGTAGAAGTTCTGGTTTGTTCTCTGTAGCTGTCACAGGCCATTTGTCTGCACCTCTGAACACAAATATATATATGTATATATACATACATATATATACATATACATATATATATATATATACATATATATATATATATATATATATAACAGACATCAGCTGCTCTGAGGCCATATCTTATTTCCTGTTTTTCCCCTCACAGAGAAAATTTAGTTCTACACCAAGGGCAATACTAATTCAAGTGAACATTTTAAAGACAATCCTAACACTACTGATAAGGGGCATAAATTCAATCCTACATGTAGGTGAGTGGACTAATCATTAAGCGATCAGGGGAACAAAACTAAGCTAAGATACAATAAAACGTAATAAACACAAGGATCTATACATAGATTTTGCAATTGCAGATAAAATTATTTTTTTTACATTACATATAAGGGCTTATATATGATACATATAACTTATATAATTTCAAAATACACTGGAGTCTAAAAATACCTAAATCACTCATGAAAGTTAAGTTTTCTAAGCTACTATGTTTAAAAGATATCGTAAATATTGTATTTTTTCTTGCCCCTTTTAGAAAAAAAAAAAGGCAAACAGAATGGTAAACTCATCAAAAAGTTTGTTGCTAGGCCAAGTATATCTGAACAAAATCTGTTAAAGAAGAAATGCTCTATTTACCTCATCATTTGAAATATTTTCCTTAAATTTTATAGATTTTTCTGTTTAGAGAGAGAAGATAGTCATCAGCACATTCTGTTCCTTAGGTGGTTTTTTGTTTGGTTGGTTTGTTTTTTGTTTCTTTTTGTTTTTAATAAAATAAGTAGATGTGGATAGGTGATTCTTTTTCAGTCAGCTGGAAGGCAAGTTAAAACCATAACCAAAAAAAACATATACACAGTTTACACAGAAAACTTTAAGAACAAAATCAAGTATTTATCTTCAGAGTAAGAATTTGCTCTTTTTTATTCCAAGTAAAAAATCTACTTTGGACACATCTTACAGTGCAAGAAATCTGTAACTTGCTATAACTCACAGCAGACATAAGAACTATCAAAAGAAACTCCCCAAAATACCCACAAAGGTGCATTTCCTCCAGAGACTGAAAATAAGGTACCATCAGTTAGAATGGCAAACCAAACCACAACAAATTACAGGTCAAACTGTAAGAATTTTCTTCCAATTTTACTATCCATATCCTCCAAAACAATTGCTTTCCACAACTAATGAAAGTTGAATCTGTGCAACAGAAACCTGTGTGACCGTTGGAGGTCTGCCTGCTTTGAGGAAAGAAGTTGGAGATCAGGTATTCCAAAGCAATTAAGTATTAGCATATCCAGTCAGTAACAAGCTACATTTTGTTCTTCTTGAACCTTAGTACGACCAAATTGCTCACGTGCTCCCATAATGCGGAATGCAGAGTGCAACGTGAGACCTGCAAGGTGCTGATAGAGATGCAGCAAGTAGCTATTTACTGGCAAGCCAAATAGAGATGATGCATTGCTCTAATAGAGAGATGCACACATTTGTAAGAGACTGAAGCAATGTTTACTTTAATTAAACAGCCAGAGTATTTCCAGGACAGAAGGCACTATAAAGAGAGAAGTTAAAGTGAAAAAACTGAACCTGCCTATGAGATTTGGGCAGGTTGAAGAGGAGAACTCTTTGAAACCCCTCCTGGTCCTTACTCACAAGCTAAGGCACCTGCTTTAGCTTGTGAGTAAGGACCAGTGAGTAAGGACCTCATCCTGGAGATGAGGGACATTCAGTTGAACTTCATCTTGACTATACCAAAACTATTTATTGATTTTTACATTTTACAAGCCTTGTAACTAATCTGATCATTTGAAATCTGATTAAAAAGTACTTTTTTTTTTTTTTTTAACAGGCCTAGGGTTGAACCAATCCCACAACATCCACATGAACAGCAAGACTTTTCTCACCCAGGGAGGTCGTTAATCTTCGGATTACAGCAAGTAAGCACATTGAGAAGCATCGCACCTGCCAAGTACACCTTCC